CTCGATCGGTGAGCGCAGCGTCGGGCGGTCCCTGAGGAAGGCTGGGCCTCGGCGATCGCTGCGGGTCACCTCCCCCGCCGCGGGCGGCGCCCGGCCTGCGCGTTCTTCTCTACGCGGAGCTTCTACTCGGTGCGAAGCGCGCCCGCAAGGGTCTCCTCTCATCTGTCGCCGCCAGGCGGATGTGCAAGCCGCGCGTTCGCCATGCACAGCCGCTGGCGAAGCGCAGGCGCAGCTCCGCTCCGACGGCATCGCCCTGGATATCAAGACCCTCCGCTCGACCGCCTATCGCTACGCTGCGCGGGCCCGAGCGGCCCAGCAGAGCGCGGCGTGCGGCCTGCTGGACCGCGTGACCGGGAAGCGGGTGGTCGTCTCCCTCGACGGGGGCCGCGTCCGCGTGAGGCGCAAGAAGCGTGGCCCCAAGACGAAGAAGGGGCGCAACCGATTCCATACCGACTGGAAGGAACCGAAGCTCCTCATCCTGTACGTCGTCGGCGACGACGGGCGACCGTCTCAGACGTGGGCCCCGATCATCGACGGCACGCTCCGGGGACCGGAGGCGGTCTTCGCCCTGCTGTTGTCGTACGCGCGGCAGATCGGCCTCAACGCCGCTGACAAGGTGCTCTTCATCGCCGACGGCGCGCCCTGGATCTGGCGACGCCTCCAGCGCCTCATCGCCGCGCTCGGGCTCTCGCCGACACAGGTGCTGGGGCTGATCGACTTCTATCATGCCGCAAAGCAACTCTCCGACGCGGTCAAGCTGCGCCGCTGGAGCGCGACGCAACGCACCCGCTGGCTCAACCGCACGCGGGGGCTGCTCAAGCGAGCACGGGTGGACGAGGTGATCACGGCCCTGCGGGAGCTGTGCCGCGGGCGCACGGCCGGCAAGATCCGCACGCACCTCAACTACTTCCTGAAGAACCGTCATCGTTTCGCCTACACCACAATGGTCGGGCTCGGGCTTCCGCGGGGCAGCGGTGCCGTCGAAAGCGCCATCCGTCGCGTCATCAATCTCCGCATCAAGGGCGCATCCATCTATTGGCTACCGGAGAGCGTCGACGCGATTCTTCTCCTGCGGTCTTTCTATAAGTCCGGCAGATGGAACTGTTTGCAGCGGATGGCCATGACGCCGGTGGGTGTGAGCGCGTGACCGGGAAATCGGGAATGCGCCCGACAAAGGTCGCTGTCGCCGGTATCCGTAACCGTGCCATGAAGCGCGTCCGTGCCGTCGTGGTTGGTAAGTTGCAGGCGCCCCGCCCCAGACCCTGGCGACTCAGACTATTCGTCTGGTCTAAGGAGCCTGTGGTTCTCCCTCGGACCGTCGTAGTGCATCAGCAGATTCGCCAGGATGTCCTGACCGAGAATCACCTGGAAGTCGCCAACGCCAGCAGCCCCGAGCCCAGGAAACGCAGCAAACTCTCGCGGTGATGGGATCTGGAGGTCACCGATGATGATGCGGCCTTCAAAGGCATTGCACTCGTGCCTTTGTTCAACGTCGCGCATGGCTCGCGGGCGCTTGTTCACGCGAATAAGAGCCAACTGTGTGACAAGTGGAATCCCGATACAGGACGAGTCTGCCCCGGTGTCGACCAGAGCCTGCAAGGGAATCATCCTGCCAGGATCGCGACCAAATTGAACAGGAGTAATCGGACGCCGGAAGTGATCGAACGGGACGTCAACGGCCAACGGCGACATCCTCGGCGTCGATGCCCTTGATGTCGTCGATCCACATCAGAGAACTCGGCAACCGTATTTCCTGAACCGCTCCCACCTGCCGGATCAGAACTTCGGTATCACCGAACGCCTCGCGCGCCGCACGGCTCGCATCCTGGAAGGTCTCGAATGACTGACCTCGCCAGAGCTGCCCGTCCGCGAACACCACCCACCGATCCATGTGTTCGGCTTCCAACCGTTCGCGCATGTTGTCGAACGCCTCGATCTCAAGATCGAGAGGATCGGCCGGTTCCTGCTGCTGTGCACTCATCGGGCTCCCCTCCGGTGGACACGGACAACGGCACGAACACTGGCGAACGGGTCTGGCTGTGAGCTGGAATGGACCGCGACGGTAGATTGACTTGTGGTGGGCCGGAGCATGACTACTTCGCTACGTTATCTACGTGTGTAGCACGGCTTTATTTTAGTCCGGCGTTGTCATGGGTATACATCCTCGCAGAGACGCGCAGATGTTGCCCTCGTCTCCTGGCGCGAATCCTCCCGCCGTGGTGGGGACGGCTGCCCGGCACCTCGGCCGACCGCGAGGGCATGGCCTACATGACGCGCGCCTTCGAGGCCCTCGGGCTGGCCGGTCGAGCACATCCCCTACGTGCTGCCCTCCGACTGGCGGGCGACCGATTGGGCCGCGAGCTACCGGGCCGCCGACGGCGACCACCCTGGCCGAGCTGCGCGACGAGCGCTTCCCGCCCGGCGCCGGCCAGGGCGCGCTCACCGGGACGGAGTCGCTGGCCAGATAGCAGAAGGGGCGTTCAGATGGTCGCCAAGCGTGACGGGCCGGGGCAGACCACAACCTCGCCGGTGGCCCGCCCCGGTGTCATCATCGCCAGGAACCGACGCGGCTCGCTTCGGCGCTGCTACCGCGCTGCTTCGGCCTCCTGCCGCTCGATGTTGCGGTAGACCTCCTGGATGTGCCGGATGTCGTGGTTGCCCTCGTGGCAGGCGTACTCGAACATCGGCCCCTCGGTGGTCGTCAACGGGATCTCGGCGCTCCACGGCTGGTCCCACGTGTCGGGGTCCTCCACCGTGAACGTGAAGTGGATCCGGTCGTCGGCCACCCGGGTGAACCGCTCCACCACCTTGAGGCCGCGGCTCGAGCCCTGCCACGCGGTCTTGTCGTTGAAGTGGCTGCTCTCGATGATCAGAGTGTCCTCCTCCCAACGCGCGCGCGAGTCGCCCGGCCACTGGCGGATCTTCTCCGACATGGTCGGCCGTCCGTCGATCGGGATGATCCGCGGCCCGTTGGTGCTCTGCTCGGTGACGATCACCACGTGCGTCGGCGTCTGGAAGATCTGGTGGATGTCGTTGTACGAGGGCGGCTGCAGCGGCGGCCCGTTGTAGCCGTAGTAGAGGCAGCGCTCGCTGTGCGGGCGCAGCTCGTAGCCGTCGAAGGCCCCCGGTCGCCGCGCGCCGCGCGCCGCTCCGCCGCCCGCGCCTGGGCCTGCTCGTTGCGGGCGGGGATGCGGCCGTTCGGCGGGGATCGGTGATCAGCGAGGTGCGCCGGGTCGACAACCCCTTCGGCACCGGGTGGCGAGCCAGATGGCGTTGTCGTAGTGGACGTAGGTCTCGTCGCGGTGGGTTCTGGTCGAGAACCCGCGCGCGCTCTCCGGGTCGGCGATTCGATGACGAAGCGGGCCAGCGGGTCGGCCCCGTCGACCGTCAACTGCGACTGGAGCTGCGCGAACTCCTCCTCGGTGTAGAACGCCTGGTCGCCCAGATACTCGGGGCGCTGCATCGGCGTGAACGTCTGCGTGGTCCAGTAGCCCTGCAGGTCGGGCTGACCGTCCGCCAGACGCGGCATCTCCCAGTCCGTTTCCGCGTTTGCGGCACTCTGGGACTGGCTCTGGGCCAAGACCGGCCCCGACGCGAGCAGGGCGACCGCGAGCAGCATGGCGACCGTTCGAAGGCGATGGTCCATTTCAAACCCTTCCTGGAAAGGCTGCCGTCGTTACCGGGAACGCGTCCATGATCGCTCAGGTCCGCGCCGTGCGCAAGCCCCCCGGCAGCCCTCCGGTTCCTGCGGATGGGCCTCGGTGCCAGCACCCCGTGGTAGAACCCCGCATTGCCGCCAGACCGGCGAGGGCGCCAGCGGGCTGAGGGAGCCTTCTGCCAGGGGTGCTAGGATGGACAACCACGTAGCGACAGGAGAGGACCATGACCATCGAACACCCCTTCCTGAGAGCGCGCGTCGCGTTGTCACTCGCGACCGTGCTCACCCTCGTGCTGCCGGCCGCTCTTACCGCGCAGTCCCATCACCCGCCGCCCGAGCCGCCCGCCGAGTGGGGGCCGATCTCGATCAACCTGGAGGGGTTCGAGTATCCGCATCCGGTCGAGTTCATGAACTTCCGGGTCTTCGGCCAGGACGTGCGGATCGCGTACATGGACGTGGCGCCGGTGGGGCCGGCGAACGGTCGCGCCGTCGTCCTCCACCACGGGGGCAGCTACTACGGTTGGTACTGGAAGAGCCAGATCGAGGCTCTTGCCGGCGCGGGCTACCGGGTCGTCGTGAAGGACCGGCTCGGCTGGGGGAAGTCGTCGAAGCCGATCCTGCCGTACAGCATGAGCCTGCACGCCTCGAACACGGCCCGGCTCATGGAGCACCTCGGCATCGCCGAGGCGGCCATCGTCGGGCACTCGATCGGCGGGCAGATGGCGACCCGCTTCGCCTTCCTCTATCCGGAGAAGACGACGCATCTGGTGACCGTCAACCAGATCGGCCTGACCGACAGGCGCGCGGGGCGCGGGTTCCGTCCGTTCGACGGCGAGATCGACGCCGACCCCGGACCTGCAGGCCGCCTACGAGGCGGACGTGCGCACCGACACGCGGCGCTACGTGGAGTGGAAGCCGGAGTTCATCGACCACCTCCGGATCCGCCACGGCCAGCGGCTGAGCGGCGACTGGCCGCGGCTCGCGTACGTGCGCCGGCTCGGCGGCAACCTGCGCTCGATGGACACGGTGGTCGACGACTGGCCCCACATCCGAGACGAAGACGCTGATCCTCGGCGGCGAGATCGACGGGCCGGACTTCCCCGCGAACGCGCGGCGGGCCGCCGAGATCCTGCCCAACGGGGAGGTCTTTCTCATCCCGAACGTCGGCCACAACCCCCACGAAGAGGTGCCCGACATCGTCAACGCCGAGCTGATCCGCTTTCTCGGCACCGACCGAACGTGCCGGCGAGAAGTAACCGACGGGGCTCCAGAGCGTCCAACGGCCGCTACCCGCCACACGGAGAACGGTCGGAGGGACGTCCCGCGGGCGACCGCTTCAGCGTCAGGCGAACATCCCGGTCGCGATTCGCCCCACGTCCTGAATCGTGGCGTAGACCATCAGCGCCAGGACGAACGCCCAGCCGAGGAGGGTGACCGGGGTCTGCATGCGCGCGAGAGGCCGATAGACCTTCTCGAGCAGGCAGAACAGTATGCGGCCGCCGTCCAGCGGGGGCAGCGGCAAGAGATTCAGCACCGCCAGGTTCAGATTGATCAACACGGAAAACGACAGCAGCCCGGCGGCGGTCGATCCGAACTGAGCGCCACCGATCGCCACGATACCGACGATGCCGCTGATCTGGCTCGGATCGACGAAGAGGGTCGACAGGGCGAACGCCAACTGCTGCAGGCTGGTCCACAACTGCGTCGTCGCGAAGACCGCCGCGTTCACCGCGCTCAACCCGAACTCGACGACGCCGAGAGCGAGCAAACCGGCAAAGGCTGCGACGACGTTGGCGAATGGCCCGCCCAAGGCAAACAGAATGCGTCTGGTGGCCGGCCGTTCGCGAAACCCCTGTTCATCGAGGGCCGGCAGCACGTACCCACCCAACGGGACGGCCGAAATCCGGTAGGTGGTCTCTCCCCAGCGGCGGCCGATCAATTTGGGTCCGAACCCGATGGAGAATTCCGCGATCGGAATCCTGCACAGCTTTGCGACCAGCAAGTGGCCCAACTCGTGTACCGCAATCAGGCCCCCCAGGATGATGACCACGAAGAGATAGGACAGCATGGCCCGAGTATGCCACACGCCAGCGCTCATCCCGAACGCCGGCAGCCTTGCGCCTCTACGTGCCGAGTGACCACGATCACAGGTTCAGCTGTCGTGAGAACGCCGGCCGCCGACAGCCCGTTCATCATCGAGACAGGCAAAGTCCGGCCGTGCAGCCAGCAAGCCGGCTCTTTCTCGTGTGGGTCTCGTCGAGACGGCGCACCGCCATGACGTCGAAGCCACGCATCGCCTGTTCGAGCGACCGGCTCGAGGCGCGGGTCGCGGAGCAAGGGCTGTGTAGTCATGGTCATCTGGAGGACGCGCGCCTCGACTCCGTGCCGTCGCGCCGGACGATTGCGGCTCACGCCCTTGCGAGGGCATGCCGGCAGCGACACCGTCAGCGGCATCACGATACCGCCGCCGGGCGCCAGCGCGTCGAGCCACGACGCCAGCGGATGCGAGATCCCCGCGTGCACCACGATGGGACGTCGAGAGGGGCGCGCCGTGTCGGCTGCACGTCCAGCAGATCACAGATACGGTCGGCCAGTCCCGCAGCGCGCGCGCGCGCGGTCCGCCAGGTCCTCGTCCACATCCACGGCCATGACGGAACCGCCGGGCCTACGACATCTGCGATGATGCGAATAGTAGCCGTCCGCATCCGACGTGGAGAACGCGGGCGCCGCGCGGAGTGCCAGCGCAGTCCAGCCATGGGGCGACCACGCCAGGGGCGCCCCGTTGTAGAGCTGGCGCTCGGCTCGATCGCGATCGACAGGTTGTGGTAGACACGTCGCGGGTCGGCACATCGCAGTCCGTCGCGCGAGGAGCGAACAGCGTCGCCGCTGGACCAGTACACGGTAACGGCGCACGACTCCTACTCGCGGAACGGTCTGGCGCACAACGCGCGCGTGCGAGCGCGTTCGTCAACCGCAGGTGGCTCGATCTCCTCCGCGTAGAACTCCCGAGGGGTCATTCCGTCCGCCTCTTGGGGCGACCCCGGGCGCCGGTTCTCCGCGGCCCTGGAACCCGCCGGCCGCCGGCCAGCGCGAGGACCGCCGGCCACGCGGCAGGGGCGGCTTCGTGCGGCAGGCGTCGGAGACTCTTCGAGCGCATACATCGGCGGCCGTGCCCGTTGCTCTTGGGGATTGTGACCGCTGACATCGCCGCCGCGACCAGAAGTACGCTTTTGAGGGTAACATCATGAATCGAGGCTGAGTGCGGTTCGCATGGTCGGACAGGTCGCGGCCCAGAATCGCGAGCTCTTCCCCTTGCACGCGGCGCGCGCTCACGCCTCACCGCGGTGACGCTAGAGGACTGCGTTCAGTCGGCAGGCGTCCGTCATCGCGAAGCCCACCGTCGCTCGAAGCCGCACAGCCTCATCAGGACGCGATGGTGCATGCGCTGCAAGTCCGCCCGGGCGCGAGTCGCGATCGGCGCGCTGCGACGCGAGCGCTCCCATTCGCGGGAAACGCGGTGTGTCGAGCGCCTGACGATAGTCTTTCTCGCGGCACGAATATTAGACATACGTTACAGACAGTTACTGGTCCCTGTGAACTGATGGGGTCGATGTGGTCGGGTTTGCAGGCCGCATCGGCGTGCGGTCCGAAGTGTTGTGCTCGTACTTGCAGTCAGCTTCCGACCGTGCCTCCTCGTTGTTCTCTCATTGGTGAACGGGAATCCACAGTACTCGGTCAGCGTCGCGGCCTCCGTACTCGGCGGCCCCAAGTCGCATCGGCGCGACGTGCGACCGTCGCTCATGCGGTCGGATAGACTCCCGCTGGCGGCAGTCAGCGATCCGCAAGTCGGGCGAGCGCTTGGACGGCCCGGTGCTTGCAGTACAACGGCCGGTGCGCCTAGCCGTCGGTCGGCCGGGCGGCGAAGAGCGCCGGCTCCTGAAGCGCCACGCCGACGGCGTGTTCGACGCCATCGCCGCCACTGCCTGAAGGCCCGCCATGTGCTGGGACATCGAGTACACGGACGAATTCGAGGCGTGGTGGAACGGCCTGACGCTCCGCGAGCAGAGCGATGCCGCCAAGGTGGTGGATCTACTGGTGGCGCGCGGCACTGCGCTGGGGAGTCCCCAATCGTCACAGGTCAAGAGTTCAAGGCACCCGCACATGCGCGAGTTGCGCATCCAAAGCGGCGGGCGCCCGATCCGGATCTTCTATGCCTTCGACCCTCGCCGCACCGCGATCCTGCTGATTGGCGGACGCAAGCTGGAGCAGGAGCGGTTCTACCGGGAGTACGTGCGGCGGCCGATGCGATCTATGATCAGCACATTCAGCAGCTCCGGCGCGAGGGGTTGCTGGAGCCGGAGAGAGGATGGGAGCGATGAAGCACCGGCCCTGGCAAGAGCTGTTCGAGCGACTGCCACCGAAGACCCAGGCTGAGGTCAAGGAGAACACAGCCAAGGTGCTGGCCGAGTTGGATCTGGCCGAGCAAGAGCAGCGAGCCGAGGACCGGCGCGACGAAGGGCCGGCCCCTGCGCGTCCGGTGGCGCTGAGCCGCTGACCGGTCGCCACCCTCCGCCGGTGGAAAAGCTGCGGCCTCCGTCACCAGAGGAACGCTGCGAACGCTCAGCAACGGGCGGGCGAGAGCCCCGGGATGACTCTGTCGGCCCGCGCCAGGCGGGGCGCCCCGGTGCCGACGACACACCCAAAGGCCGCCACGGTCGGGCTCGAGTCGAACGCGCCGGCCTCGATCGACTCGGCGCGCAGCTTCAGATGGGCGAATGTCGGCCGGTCCGCGTATCCCGTGCTCATGAGCCGCAACGGTCCGCCCGCTCCGCGGTCCGCCGGGAAGAGCTTCAGGCTGACGGTCCCACGTACGTTACCGCCGATCGCCAGGACGCGCCCCTCCGTCTCGTCCACCTTGACGACGATGTCGCAGTGGCTGCGTGCTCCCTCTCCCATCTGGCGCCGGCGCTCGGCGATCGTCCGGTAGGCCGGTCGGCGCGAACTGCACAGGAGATCGCCGGGCTCGATGTCCGTCTCTCCGGCATCGTACGCGGCAAAGGCCGCCTCCGAGGCGTGCCCGTCACGAGCGCGAATGGCCTGGTCGATGTACGAATGGTGAGCCACGGCCCGCCGAAACTGGGTCGCGCTGCCGAGACCCGCTTCGCACATCACCCACGACACAAACGCCGCCGACCAGGGGGAATTCCATCGAGAGGCGACCCCACGGGGGCCGTTCCACGCGTCATTCTGCCTGTCGACGATCCAGGTCCCTTCAGGGGTAACGGCCCAGTATCCGGCAATCGAGGCCGCCACGCGCGCGGACTCGACCGCGCTCAGCCGCCGCCACCGACGCGGCTGACGGCCGGTGCCTGTGGCGACGCGGCTGCCATCTCGCGCCGCGTCGCTCGCTTTCAACCGTCCGGTCCATGACGCTGAAGCCGAAGAACGCCCACTCCTGGACCGCGACGTCCACGATCCGCCGGCGCGTCTGGTCCGTGGGCAGTGTCCGGCACGACGACGGCCGCACCGCCATCCGGCCGGGTTCGCCGCGCACGTGGGCGGACGGCGGCACGACATCGAGGACGTCTGGCGGCAGCCGGTCGACCCCGGCTTGTCCGGCACCGGCCTCTGACGGCGCACACAGGCTTGCGAGCCCGACCACGAACGGTAGGATGAGTCTTCGCATGTGAGGTTTCCCGACGACGGTAGACAGTAGCACACGGCCCGACAATCTCGACAACCGTTGCCAACCCGGTTAGCGGCCCGGCCCCGCAATGGGTCGCCCCGTCATGGGACGATCCGGCACCAAGGAACAGCCTTCAGCCCAGGAGGCCAGGATCAGGATCGATGTACTGACGGAGCTACCCGGGGGGTCCCTTTCACGTGGCCGCAGAGTTCCCGTTTCTGGTTGCCATTTCCACTCTCGAGCTCAATCCGGCCTAATCGCTTCCACGGGCGAGATCCGAATTGCCCTGAGGGTCGGTCTCACGCACGCCAGCATGCCGACGGCGATTACGCACACGGTGATGACGAAGACGGTGACCGGCCAGCTCTTCGGAAACAGCACCGCGCTCTCGGCCTGACCGCCGAAGCCCGACAGCAACATGGCACTGAGGGCGGCGCCGATCGAGACTCCCGCGCAGAGCTGTAGGAACGCTCTCTTCCCGACGAGCAGCACGATGCTCGCCGGCGCCGCGCCCAGCGCCGTGCGGATGCCGGTCTCGCGGGTGCGCTCAGTGACCGTGAACGACATCAGCGCATGGAGGCACGAGCCCGAGAGCACGACGGCGATACCGGCGAGTAGCACGAAGAGGTACGTGGCCATCGTCAGGACGCGCCGATTCGGATCGGGGACTTGGTCGAGCGCTCCGGCGTTCTGAATCAGAGCGCTCGGCTCGATCTCGGACACGATCGTCCTCAGGTGCGGGATGAACGTCTCCGGGTCGCTCCCCACCCGCACCGCGAAGGTCACGGGATGCATCTCGCCCGGGCCAACGACGTGATAGATACCCTGATCCGCGTCGGGTCTCAGCGCGTTCATGCCCAGGGACCCAACGACACCCACGATCTCGTACGACCATGGGCCTGGCTCCCGACCGGGAACCCAGTAGCGGAGGCGCTGGCCGAGGGAGTATCGACCCTTGAGCACCCGATCGACGAAGCCCTGATTGACGATCACCGCGGACCGGTCCTCGCCGAGATCGCCCATGTTGAAGTTTCGACCGTGCGCAACCGGCTGCCCCAACGCCTCGAAATAGCCCACGTCCACGCGCGCGACTTGTACGAGATGTGCGGGCGCCGGCGCATCTTCGGCTCGGGGCAGTCCGTCGACCTGGATGTACCGGGTGGCGTGGGTTGTGCCCGGCAGAGCGTTCGCGACGGCGATCGGCCCGAGACCAGGTTCTTCGGAGAGGCGGCGGACCAGTTCTTCGTGGACCCTCTTGACCTGCTCGACGATCGCCGGTCGGTCCGGCCGCGCACCGCTCGGCGTCCCGAGTGTCGCGTCGCCCTGCGGAAGCCGGAGGGACGCATACAGGTAGTGCGCCGCCGGAACGCCGAGCCCACCGGGTTCGGAGAGCGCCCTCGGGGCCATCGTGGAGCCGATCGCGAGGAACCAGAGCGCGACTGCGACTTCGCCGACAATCAGGACGCTGTAACCCCGCCCGAATCGGATCCCGGACCCGCCGGCGCTCGCCCGTTGAATCGAGGCCTGTACGCCTCTGCCGGTGGCCTTGAGCGCGGGGATGACGCCGGCCACCACCGCGCTGACGACGGCCAGCGAGATCGCCAGAAGCGCCGTACGCCGAGAGACCTCGAAGTCGACCCAGAACGGAAGCCCGGCGACGAGGTGTTCCGGCCCCGTCGCGACCGCCTGCAGACTCAGGAGTCCGACCCCCGCCGCGAGCGCCGCCAGTAATAGCGACTCGATGAACAACTGGGAGACGATCCGCAGCCGACTCGCTCCGAGTGCTGTCCGTAGCGCAAGCTCCCGGGCGCGTGTCGCGGCGCGCGCAAGCATGAGGATGCCCACGTTGCCGCACGCGAGTACGAGCAGGAGCAGCGCCAGGGTCTGGCCGATCACGACGCCTATGCCGGCCTCGGGCGCATCAATGCCCGTGAGCACGTGCGTGAACGGCAGCACCTGCGGCTGGAGCCGGGCGTGCGTTTCCGGGAACTGGTTGGCCATGCGCTGGCCGGAGAAGTCGATCTCGCTCCGCGCCTCCTCGAGCGAGACGCCGTCGGCCAGACGACCGACGATCCATCCCCTGGGGCCCGCGCCGAACTCGTGCGCGAGGGGGTCTAACCGGACGGGTATCCAGAACTGATCCCGAATCGGGTATTGGAACCCTGGCGGCATCACGCCGACCACAGTGCGCGGAACGGCTCCGACTCGGATCGTGCGCCCGACGACGTCCGGGTCGCCAGCCAGCCGGGACTGCCACAGGCCATACCCGATCACGACGACGTCCCGCGCGCCGATGGCTTCGTCCGCCTCGATGAGCGGCCGCCCGAGCAACGGCTGGACGCCGAGGAGAGAGAAGATCGAGGCGGTGAACTCGGCTCCGTCGACGGGGGCCGCCCGCCCGTCGCCCGAGAGGACGTTGTAGGGACCCCTCCGCCACATCAGCCCAAGGTGCTCGAAGGAGGCGAGCTCCTCCCGCCATTGCACGAAGTCGTGAACGGACTCCATGACCGGTCTCGACTCCGCGAGGTCGTAGTTGCGGACGATCACGATCTCGTCCCCGTCCTGGACCGGTGGCGGCGTCGTGAGGGCATCACGACAGATGATGCATCGGCACCCCCCCCCCCCCCAACACACCACCCCCCCCCCCCCCACACCACACCCCCCCAACACCCCACCACAACCCCCCACCCCCCCCCAACCCAAACCACATAACCCCGACGGGAATCCCGATGCCGAGGGCAAAGATCGCGACGAGCGTCAGCCCGGGCTGCTTGACCAGCATCCGCCGCGCGAGCTTGAGGTCCAGCGTCAGGCCCGTGAGCCACGCCCAACCTCGTCCGTCGCGCAGCGCTTCCTTGTGGGCTTCCACGCCGCCGAAGGCCGCGCGCGCGCGACGCGCGCTTCCCGGGGCTCGAGTCCGGCTTCGCCAATGAGGCGCTCGGTCTCCATCTCAATGTGGAAGCGGAACTCGTCGTTCATTCGACGTTCGGCGTCCTGACGAGCGAACAGGAGGCGCAAACGGGAACGGGTTCCGTCAAGCCAGCTCATCAGGTGCTCCTCATCAGGTAATCCTGGTCGTCGTCGGACGCTGGCCGCGCGCACGCTCAGGTGCTATTCAGAAGAGCACCGAGGCCTTCCGCGAAGCGCTGCCAACCTTCGATCTCCGCGCCGAGGACGCGCCGACCCGCCGCCGTCAGCCGGTAGTAGCGTGCGCGCCGGTTGTTGTCGGTCGTGCTCCAGTTGCTCCGGATCAGCCCCTGCTTCTCGAGCCGCTGGAGGGCCGGGTAAAGCGAGCCCTGGTTGACCGCCAACACTCCAGAGGACATCTGCTGAATCCGTTGGCTGATGCCCCAACCGTGCATGGGCGCGAGCGAGAGTGTTTTCAGGATTACCAGGTCGAGCGAGCCTCGAAAGGCGTCGGTCTGTGCGCGAGGGGTCACGGTCACCTCCCACGAAGCTTGGTTCTATAGCTGTCGAGAGGAATGATGGCAACCCGCTCCTGTTGCTGTCAAGAGAAGTCTCACCGGTCGATCTCTTGATGGACCCGGGATCGCGACGGGCGCGGGCGCGGTGTTCGCGCTCGCCAGCCTCGTCGAGCAGTTCCGGTTCGGCGTGGCGCCGCGCGATCCGCTGACGTTCGTCGTCGTGACGGCGGCGATCGTGCTCGCCACCCTCCTCGCCGGCCTGGCGCCTGCGTTACGTGCCGCCTGCATCACGCCAGTCACTGCTCTCGCCGAGAAGTAGCCGG